CTAGTTGGGTTTGCAGGTTTTTTAAGCTTTGTCCCGTGCACGCAGTTTCCATTGCTACCTTTTTTAATTTTTTGGGGGAAGGTTCGGTGGAAAAGGTGGTAGAATTACACTGGTAAAAACTAAACCGAATGGTTATTCATCACGAACAATATATCAATGATATTTCAAGGAACAAAGGAGAATAGGATCACTGTAAAAGGTGTGGCCTGGGTTAGAGGGGAGCCAAGTGTTCTAAATATTCATTGAATGAATTAGTGTAATGAATAAAACACACACTATGCGATATCTCTGAACAATCGCGGTCTTGTACACGAGTACCGCGAAATATGTCATAGATTCTAGCTGGATTCGAGCCAGCAGTCTCTAACGTTGAGTAGGAAAAGTATCTTAGCTATCAAGACTCTATTTGAGAGGCCAGTCCAAATGACGCTTCAGTTCACCATGCAACCGTGAATTTGTTGACAACGCATCCTCTGCACCCCTGTAAACGATGTCTTTTGATTTGGATGACTCTTTACCGAGATTCAAAACTCAACCTCTTTCGAGACTGTATCCCCCTTATCACAATCTTTTCTTTCTATCCTGATATCAATTGCGTCCTTCTCTGAAATCTACATCGCAAGATTTCCTCTCGGCGGATATTTCTTCCTACAGATAGTTGTGCTATCATGGACGTGTATTTTGAAGCCGGCCCAGCCATGACACAAAGCTGATGTGAAGTTTTTTTTATTAAAATAAGTGCTAGTTCATATTTTTAGATTTGATGAGGCTTTGGTCTGAGTGAGCCTTGACGGTGGTGAGGGGCTTAAGTGATTCAGAGTCTTTCATAATAGCCTCATGGGCCATCTTCTTCAGTATTTTGTACTTTGACTGAAATGATCTCTGAGTGAGTATTTCATATCTAGGTTCTTAGGGGACTCTATTAAAATTTTTAAGCCTTCGTCCTCATTAACGTGCGTCTGCTTACTGAACCTCAGCGTAAAGATCCCATTTCTCAACTTTTTAATACCTATACTATCCAAACTTGTCTCATACGCTATGAGCCTGCTGATCTTCGATGGCCGAGGAACGGGAGGGTTCTATCTCTTTCTTAATTTTCAATGCTAGTTCTATGGGCACACAAGCACTGCATAACGTTATAGGTACAACATGTGTTACATCATCGCTGTAGATCGTAAAGATCCTTGTTCATCCAACATTCGTCGACTAATAGAAGATTATAAGTCCTAATGCTACAATGTAGTCTGTAAAATTGATATTGAAGTCACGTCGAAAGTCAATAGCTATTTCTTTAACCTTTCTAGTTTGGCTGTGACGTAAAACGCAAGTGTACAGAAGTGCATTTAGTGTGCATCCCTGAACTGAAGAAAATATAGTTTGCTGGCAAATGTTTGATTATTTTTCCATCTCCATGTATTTCTAATAGGAATACTTTTAGCGAACGAAGGTATTATTGACGAAATCTTGTACCACTCCGTTGTAATGCACAAGATGATAGTGCAATTAATCGAGATGCTGGTCGTAGGAGACAAGAAAACACCCAGGAAGCTTGATGCATGAAACTATCATCAATTATCTAAATATTCGACAAGTATATCTTGATAATGTCAAGCAACCCTCAAAACACTGCCCTGAAAACAAAGCTTTCGTTAAATGTTATCGCTGTAACTTTGTGTGCAAAATGAGCGGCCTTGATCCAGTAGCAACAATCTTATCATGCTTCGCCCATTTCTTGGGGTTACTTTGATTAATGGAGATGGCCTTATCGGGCGTTGCATGTGGTATGATTGAGTAATTATCGCCTGTTTTTTTCGTAGCTCCAAGCGTAGCTGTGGCAACCGGAAAAACCACAGTCTCTCCGTACCAAGTGGCACACGCATAAGTGTATTATCTGTTCACACTTTCCCAACGTCTAAGTAATCCAGACGCTGTATCGCTGCCGTGACGGGTCCAGTGATCCTTTACAACTCCATTTTGAGAGTAATGGGCCTCGATCATAGCACCTTCTAAGAGAGGACTGAGAAAGCGTGCGACTAGTCGGAGGCGTCAGGTGGACCGTATCATGGGGTTTAATATATTGTACGTACCTGGAATTCCGTTTCTATGATTAATACCCCAGGTTACCAGTCTTCTTGGCAACTGTGTTTGAGGAATGGCTAGCATCAATCCGTGTCATCTTCTCCTCCCTTTAGCAAGAAGACACTCGCCAGGCAGGTGATCATTAACAAACGGTCCAAGTCCCGATGTAGTTGAACCTTAGATGAATTTCTCTGCACAGTTAGTTTCAAGCTCATCTGGCCATCAATTCCAATGTTGTTCGTAACAAAAAGCTTAGTCTGAACTTATCATGGCCCTGGTGACTCCAAGAAGAAAAAGTTATTGTGTCACTCAATCTGAGTTACCGAAAGATTGCTCAAGTCACCACTACTCTCTCATACCCTAGACAGGATGCAAAGACTAGGTTTATGATGAATGGCTAGCGATGAGGATAGTCAAAAAAATACAATCTGAAGCCAGAACCTAGTGTTAATTTTTTACTGTTCATATTCCCTGAATAAAATTATTGATGGATGTTTCTTTTCATCTTGATGTTTATCCGTATTGTGTCAGGATATCACAGGGTGTCTTTCTCATCGCCAAGATTATAGGATCTCTTATCGAGTATGCCAACAATCACTACCAAGTTATATGTATCAAGCCAAGTCATAAATGTTCTGGCATCTTCTTTTTTTACTTTTCCAAGCACCGAATCGTGTATATTTAATCTAAGGAAAAGTTTAAGATGACCCGGAGAGAAACCGAACCACTTTGGTCTAAAAATTACAAGCTTCGAATGGAGGAAGCCGATGAGTGATCTCTCGTACGTTGGAGCTCAAAGTAAGAGCTTCCTACTTCTCTAGTAATGGTTTAATGTGTAGGTGAACTTACTTGATCGCAACAGTAGACTAATACTACCGAGAAGATCAGAGTCACGTTGCTTTATGGGAATATACTGGCACATAATCGATCGTGAGGCTTGTGAGTAACAATTGGCGAGTATCTTATCTCGTCACTAGTAAAAAAGATGTAACTAGAAGAGTGATGAGGCCGATTAATCACTATTTTCAGGTGGTCGAGTCAGGTCAGTGTGTCGATGCAGATAATATTGAAAGCTGAAAGCTGAATGCCGAGTGCTGATTTCACACGCGAGCAAGGACTAAACCGGCTTGATGCTCAGATCTGGTTGGCCTACGGACATCAATATGTAAGCCGCTCTACTCGCTGCTACGCTTCATGCTTTGAGGGTCACCTGATGTGGACGGAACGGGCATTATCCATCATCTTTCATGCTTCGGATGCCGACATGAAGGTGCTAGGCTGACTTCCCATCTAGTATCTTTTGTTATTCCGACTATACCTTCACGCGAATTAAATCCATAATCTATCCGCCATGTATAACTATATTAAGAGGATTCATCGAACGTTTGAAATAAATTTTTCACGGGAGACTATGTGAGATTTAGTTTCTGGAGCAAATTCGGAATCAGAACACATTTTGCTGTACAAACAATTGTCTTATCAACGTCAGAGCCTCTCGATAATTTGATCGCCTACAATATATCATCTACTAACCTTGCCTGTAGACTTCAACAGCTTTTTGTGAGAAGTTGAGTCTGATATTGATCATCTGGCAATGTGCATGCAGTTCAGCCAGCTTATAGTCACGAGGTGCCCGACAGGCTCTTGTACGGCTTAGTGTAGGCACGATGTTTATGTTAAAGCGTCGTTGGGCTAGAGACTGCTGCAAAACTGTCCACTAATCCTATAGTCCTTCTACAGAACTGAGATATGACTAACTCACAACAACTACCATGAAACCAATCATGTACAAGCAAATCTCAATCAAGCGCAGATCATATCGACATCACGTGGATATATTGGGCAATTTATATCCCGCCCTCAACTTACGGTTTTACCAATTTGAAATATCCATGTGGAAAAAATATATATTTCGCCATGCAACATATTACCACGATCACATTTGCTAAACTCAGTGTCTAAAATTTAGGTTTTGATTTATTTATTTAGAAAAATTACCGTCGTGCCCGCGCACAGCACGTGAGCTCCTCACGTTCCGGTAAGCCCAGTCTATACTAAACTACCCAACGTGTTGGCGCCTAGACAAACCCAACTTACCAAATAAAGGCCAGCATCCTATCACCCTGCGTTCGTTGACGGAATTATACTTTATTAATATTTTTTGAGCATACAACATCATGATTGATGCTTACTTAAGTGGGCGAAGCATTGGAAAAGTTATTCTTGGTCATTCCTCACTTTCGGTCGTGTAGTTCTAACTTTGTACGCTTTGGATGATTCAGATATCTGAATTAATCATGCAACGTGTGGATTGGGAAGCAAAGTGGGTATATTGTGGGTATCAATCACATACTTCTGTTGTACGCCTTGAAACAGGACCTGGTGGCCAATAGATGGTACTTTTGCATGCTCAGCCCAACCCCTATTTTCGCGTAGATAACGAGGTAATTTAAAGCTTCACCAGACAAGGGTTTTTAATTACGGCACGTGATGGTCCCAGCTATTTATGAAATATCGTGACTAGCTGTAAGTGTGGCCCAGGGTTCCGTTTTAGTGGGAAAACATTTGCCTCTCGAACCTCATTCCACCCCTTCTAGATAGACTCAGCTTCCAGTAATACTACATCTCTCAACAACAAGCGGTTGATCATCTGTGCCCTATCACGCACGGTAACTGGTAACTCTCGACCCCATTCAGACCCACCCACTACATTCCGCCATCCCTGATCAAGTCTGAAATACTTTATCATATCTCTCATTTACTCAGATCATTAAAGCCAGATTCAACTTAACAGGAATCCCTGACTGAAGACAAGCCCTTGACCTCTCTCATACATTACCTTCGTATACCCCTCCTAAAGCAGCAGGAATATATTACCCGATAACGAGCCCATCTTGCTCTCCTGGCTCCCGTTCCTTGACATGGTTTCCTTTTCATGCGAGGTATGACGCTTTTATTACTTCGGAACTACTTTACGCTCGTTGAAACTTGAACCTTGGCAGTGTTAACACTACTCACACATACAGGCTTGCGGAGACGTTCTTACGAAAAAAAAGCTAGACGCACATCGCAACCAGTGCCACGGCGCATCTTATACCTGCCTCGATTGTATGGTTCATTTCTCTGGATTCGAATACCGCGCACACACTGTTCGTACCTAACCTATATATATGTATATATATCAGTTTTTTCACGGAGACTAACTTGAATCTGAAAGAGCTGTATTAGTGAGGCCCAAAAATACCAAGGTGCACTATACCGACCTGGAAAAGAGAAGAAGACTAGTCAGAACAATCCGACAGCTCGAGGCTTTCTTAGTCTCTCTAACAACAACATAGTACGACCTCAGATGGAAGCTTTATCTCAGACGCCGGCAGTCAAAAAAGATGCCCCCTTCAATGTCTTCGATTTTCTCGATCCAACGTCTACGACAAATACCTCCAGGGTTGAGCTTTCACTTCCTGAACCAATGCAGGTGAACGAAGACATATCAGAAAAACTAGATAAGCCTACCACACGCGAAGCTAGCCAAAGTACAGTTCGTATAGCACCGGAAACTCCAACCAACAATCAGCTCGTCAGAGTGCCTTCTCTAAACAACCAGCAGAATGAAACAACTTCAAAAGAACTGCGGGAAAGACGTAAAGAAAAAGACCGCTGTGATGAGAAGAAAGACAAAAAAAGAAAGCGCATCCATGTTGAGACTCGTGACATGGTGGTTCATGACAAGGATGAGACCATGACCGACGCTCCTCCAATCGTACATTCCGGTTTATCAAGCGGTCTAAATCACTTAATGTCGCATCCTCCCGTCCTCCCACTGTCGCCGGACTACTCTGGTGGGGATGCAGGTGATACTCGACATCCGTCACCTGGGAGCCCACTCAAAAAATCAAAGCAAGTAAAGAAGCGGACTCAATCGATATCTATCAGTAATGGACTTTTAGCTCTCATGTCTAGCAAACCTCTACGTCCACGTGTTGACGAACGATCTACGCGAAAGCCTAGAGATCGAGAGATAGCCTCTGAAAACCAACCAAAGAATCTCCTCGAGTACACCTCAGTTGATAAAACCGCCGTAGGGAATAGTGATAGTAACCGAATGGTTGTTTATCAACCTCCAGTTAAGCGCGTTGAACTGCTTTTGAGCTTTATTGATACTGAACCCGATACGACCCGGGGCATCAGTATGAACAAGGCCTTGAAGAGATATCATCGCGATCGTCAGACCCGAGGAATCGGGAATGCCAAGGCTGCGGATGAGAAGGAGCTTTGGAGAAGTCTACGCATGAGGCGGAATGACAGGGGAGAGATAGTTTTATTTACATGACATAATATTTTTCCACAGAAAAGTGCTCAGGACGCCGTGGCCCGACAGCTGACCTGAGCTTCATATTGACTTATTTGCCCTTCTATGTTACTTATTTTTTGGGAAGGTTCGCCGCAACCATGGATCACAAATGGCTTGTGTCAGACTAAGCAGTCCATATATTCGAAGCTTGTAACACGGGCTTGCCCCGCTAGGGCGAAACGTAATTGAGACAAAGCATAGATGTTTACGTGACAGGGGAACTCCCAGTGATGATGCGGTGACAATCCAGATGCCCTTGCAACTTTGGCTGCTGTCGTGTCAGGCCCCTGAAGCCTGATATTCTGGCGTGCGGTTGTGGGTCGAATCCATGGAGCGCGCGCAAGTCCTCTGCACGGCTAGCGTACCAGAACATTTAACGGCGGCTCGTCCGGGAGAGAGTCTAGCCGGGCGCCGTGTTCCGTAACCATGAGTTGCTCTGACGTGGATTCTGTCACGAGAAGCTGCTTGGTAGGCGTAAGCGAGGTCATAACTGGGTTAAGAGCGTTATTAAATCCAGGCACACCCCAGCTATGGCTAAGTCGGCGCTACTGGCCTTGGGATGTCCATAACTGGGAGATGAGTACGAGCAGGGGCCGAGCGAGTGGGTGACGACGGGTGTGGCAGGCCCCTGAATGTCGACGACAAGTTACTTGGCCCAACTTGCAGCTGCAGTTCGCCATGACCTCGTGGTACCAGCTTCGGATGAGCTCGGGCAGGCTTGAGGATTCGGGACCGGCAGTAGGAAATCTAAGCCGGACGTGAGGAGCGCAAAGCCGTGAGCCTGCATCTTTCAATCACCATAGCCCCTTCGTCTGTCGGCACACGGCCTCGGCAGTATGTTAATGAGACTCGGACGGTAGAGGTACGCCTCGCGGCCCCATAGCCGGCCGGATTTCCGAAAACCGATAGCGCGTCGGAAATTTGTGCCCTTGCCGGACCGGGCCGAGCAAGGCGGGTGTCGCCGGCTCATGTAGATCCCGACAAGTTCGCAGGGGTTGAATGCCGTTAGTGCCGACCTATGATAGCAGAGCTAGGCCCCGTGCCAGAATCAGCGGGGCAACGTATTTCTTTAATCGTTAACAGCTGCTGGTGACGAGGCTGAGATGCCAAATGTTGCGAAATGCGTATCGCGAGCCATGCAGGGGCGACGGAGTACTGACAGCGCGCCAAGGTACCACACGTGACTATAAGTGGCATCCGATCGCGGAGACTAAGCGCCGTGTCGGACGCTCAGCAATCTTGACCACCAACACCTTGAATCCTGTCCGGGCGACCGAGTGCAATGGACGTTGTCGTCAGAGACCTGCACCGTGTAGCAGGCCTGCCTCCCTGTCCGAATTTCGAAACGCGCGGGTAGACAGAGGGGACAAGGTTTCTGCAGGTCATATAAATGAAGAGTGAGCATGAGTGCGGCAGGGCAGAAGGGTGTGTTTGAATGTTTAGATCCGTCGGTGTTTCGATAATTGTCTGATTTGATCTGAGTGCCATAGCTAAATAACTTCATGCATCGTCATGTGAGGTGGGCACAACCGAAACGGTCCGACACTCATCAGGTCACGAGATGGACTGGGGTAAGGGGTTGAGAATCTTCTGTGGAAGCGGGATCGCGAGCCGCCGACATAGCGCCAGCATGGAGACATTGATCAACAGCACTTGCATTTCTCGTTCACATACATACCAAAGATTCAGAGAGATCATCGTAGCCTTATTAGGCCGCCGGCGAGAGCGTGGCAACATTGTCGACGTCTCCCGCGATACTCTTGACATGGTTCACGCAAAATGCTGAATTTAGTAGCCGAAGTCGGCCATTACAACTATCCTGGAGGCCTTCGAAACGTAATTCTCCCACACAAGCAATGTTATCACAGCTGCAGGATCATTTCGTGGTGCTAGTGTTACTTGCCCAGCCACTCGATCTATGTATGAACTTCGCTCGTGCAATTTGCTCAGGGGGAAAGCCTCACCCAGTCCCTCCATAGCTAACTCCTACCGTTCGGCCTGTCTTCGGCTGCTTCCCTTCCATAACCATTTGTTGTGTAGGAGTGGCAATGTGACTTTTTCTACAGAATTAACAGGGTCCAAGCACAAGGTTAAGTGATTCTAGCAGAGATTGTTCATCCAAATTTTCCTCTCGCAGACTAGCCTTGATCTCGTTACTAGTGTCTGGTTATTGGACATGAGAGTAGCAAGGGAAGGACTGTGGTTCTGCGACGCCTGAAGCCAAAAAGCGACGTTGCTCTTCCGCATTTTGAAAGCCAAGCTGAATCCATGGAAACTTTGTTGTGCCTCCTTACCGGCGACAAGCTTGAAAGTGGGTCCCTCTAAAGCCAGATTTTATAATTAATGGATCGAGACGTGGTAAGAAGGACCAATTGCGGAGCCAATGTACCGAATTTAATTAGCTCTATGGAAATTAGGATTTAACAAAATGTTGTTTGATGACGAAATGGTGGACACGAGAAGACGGCTGGCCTGTTAGCGGGAAAGAAGCGCCTTCGAGAAACCGAGTAGGAGTTAGCGCGCCCTAGGTTTGTAAAGTTTAATTTGGATGACTCGAGGGCCGTGTAGTCCGTCCTCTACAAAGAATTGCGTATCAGGCTAATAGATATTGAATCATTAAACCTGTAAAAATATGTAGTCAACAGGATCCCGAACAATGGAGCAAGCACCAAGTAATCGGAAAATTCCGAGGAACTACAACCAAAATTTTCCTAGTTCATGTGCCAGAGAAGGATAATGCCCTATCCTTTCTCATAGAATTCAATCACTCAAGTTCCATGATAACTCAACATGGGATTTGCGAGACTTTGAGTAGGTCAAAAACAATAATATGGTCATTATAAGCAGTGTCGTACTAGCGTTATGCAGCAAACAAGCGACCACGGCCTTGTCAGTAATTGGAATTTCTGTTGGGACTATCGCGCAATGAAATGAGCGCAATAATTATGGAATGGAAGAAGGTGACCAAAAGAGTGGGAGGTGTGCGCTCTAAGTACAAGTATAGGCGACACATAGCCTAAGCTACAGAATAAACGATTGTGACGCCATCTAGGCATAGAAAACTCCCAATAGCCTCCTTGTGCCCACGCCATACAGCCGCTCATGTCTCCAACAGGTAGTCTGAAGTGCCACAAAACTACTTATTCCAAACCCTTAACTATATGCCTGATCATGTCGGGAACCTAGACAAAATCGAGGGCCCATACGTCCACAACACTCCGTGTCTCCATTTCCAACAATTTCTTACTGTTTAATGCCTTCCCGTTACAAGCCTGTGAAAAGTAACACAGTCAACGAAGCACAACTGTAAATTGCCTTGTATTGCTTTATGTTCTGAGGAGCTGAGGCTGAGGGCTTATTTGATACCCGGTCGATAGCATGGCACTATGGCATGATAAAAGTGGCAGAAACTAATCAATAATCTTACATATTTATCTAATATAACTCAATATTGAAGGAGCTCATTGCTCAGGGTCGTTTATTTCAAGGAAGCACATGTACACGACGGTCCTTTGAAGCTTCATAGAGTATGAACGAGCCCTTGAGAGTGAGGCTATATCCAGATAATAGACCAGGCACCTTTAGAAACTTCCGCTTTTTAAAATGAGGTTTGTGTTGCGATATAATGACTAAACCTCATTTATGTTCCCAACTTTGAAATATCATTTCCTAGATTATTTCGAAAAACTTAAAAAGAAAACTGCGAAATTCTTCTTTCGGATTCTGTGTATTTAGAAAATTTTGTAGCCTATTGGAAGCATGAATTGTCTTGCTGACAAAGGCTGTATCTCCATTTTGTCAAACTTCAAATATATGAAGTGCAATTATAGGTCTACCTCAGAGGTAGCTCTTGGAATTCTCTTCTTTCGTAGGCCTATAGGCTAGTGACGTATCCATTATTTTAAGCGACATCCGATTCAATTATCCGTAGACCCAAAGTATATAGAGGTCAATTGCCTCTAAATAAAACTATGAAATATTAGTATTAGCCACTGAAGTTGGTTTCCATTCAAGAGGGATATTCGTAAAAACTTCATCATGACTGACGGTAGAGGAGTGTGACTCAGAGGACTCGAATTTAGATTGCAGTAACGACAAAAATGTCTGTAATAGGTGCCTAGATTGTTTGATTTTCTGGCTATATTAAGATGTGGAGCTAAGTTAATTCAAAGGCCGGGTCAAACGACAAATTTGATCCACATCATTCTATGCATGCAGTTTCTCGACAAGGATTTACGCTTTAAGGTTCCATACTATGGATTTCACTCGAAGCTTGCCTATAAGTAAACTTGATTCTAATTCAATCATTAGCAAAGTATAAGCACTAGGAAACTAAAATTAGCCTTGGGCTGAGGGTAACATAAATAATTTAAAATCGCACCCCTACAAGATAGAGCCCACACAATGAAGCGAAGCAAAGAATTTACAAAGAGTCTGCTTACAAAACATACTGGCGATGAATAAAGCAAAAAACTATTGGTGACATAAAACTTGTGAATTTTGGTGCTGGCGCAATGGCTAGAAAAATTGATCAATAAAGTTCTGTGCGAAATTGAATTCAGCCAATGCTTTTTTTGTGAAGAAAGCAAAGTAATCCTCAAAAATTTTTGTTCCTGAATTTTGACTTAAGATATCAATCCGTTCATCAAAATAATTGCTGTTTGTTCACCCATAACGCCTCCAACACCTGGGGTCACACCGACATAAGCCAGAATTATAATGCTAATAACACTTTGATGACCATGGCCGCCAAACAGATGACCAAAACTGTTATGGCAAGATCAATCCATGCTGGAGAAGTTCCAGATATTTTTTTATCTTCTTTTACTTGGCATGATTGGCGTGATTTATCCCGAAATCTCAGTGATACTTCTGGTGAGCTAGATTTGGAATGAGATGAAAGACTTGCTGGAGTAGGCTGCTCTACCGAAACAGCAACATCGTCAGCTTGCTTCCCCTCGAGCTCTCTGGAATCCGTGTCTATGGCTCCTAAATTCTCAATCTTCCTTGTGTTTTCTCGAGTTATTTCATCCCTATAAACAATCTTGAGCTCATTCGGAAGCTCGCTTTCACTTAGGTTGTGTTCCATTTGCATGTTGATACATGCCGATTCACATTCTTTCAATATATCTTCATTGGATTTTTGGCACACATTGCAGATCCACCTGGTACTGCCTTGGGCATATCTTAATCGCTCGGCAGTTGTACATTTCATTCCCCCTAGTTGTCCTTGAGGATCAGTTTCCATGAAAGTTCGCAACGCCATTAAAGCTGTACGGATACCCCAAGCTGGCATCCAAGTTTCTTCATGATGACCACTTATACTCAGACAGATTTCGCGATTTACTTCGAACCGCCCGCTAGGATTTAAGAAGCGGAAAGATGGCGGCCGAAGAGGATATGTAGGGGGCAACACGATACGACCATGGTAGATACCTTTAGAAAATTCAGACGAAGGAGGTCCTCGAATGGTGAAATGCCAATCAAAGAGGTCCGAATCATTGGCAGGTGCAGCATGGAAGTCGGGAGAGGGGGACTGAGCAAGCTCTGCGGCTTCTCGGACTAGATTTGTTACATTTTGAAAGGGGAATTGATTTAGAGAGACGGCTTACGGATACGCTTAATAGTTGGAGACTTAGTTAGCTTGGACGAGGCCATTGTAACTACTAGTGAGCTCTAAGCTTCCCATACGGCGTGTTCCCTAGATTTATCAGTGGTTAGGTGTCTGGCTGTTGAATGCCGCCAAAAGGAATAATGTCCTTGTGATGATGATGTCAGATTTTGTCAGCAGCCTTAGATGAGGATTTGTCGTGCTGGTCCAAGCGTGGTTTGGAGAGGCAATAATATACTACCGAGCGTTTGATCAAATGCCTTTGGCTGCGGGAGAATTGTGAGCCTCAGAAGCTTGTTGACGTTATTTTGAGTGGAGGTTGGTGGGCTAGACTAGCCAGGAAAACGAGGAATATCTTAAGGAAATAACTTCAGAGCGGCCTAACTAAGGACAGCAAGCTTTCTGATGCCACATGAGTCGGTTAATGGAGCATTTATCCCGTCGTCTCGTCTCGTTAATGTACTTGACGAGACAATGAACTGTCCGCAGACTACCTTAACTGGGGAAGTTTGTCTCGGCACTATGAACATCAGATGGTGGATTCCTCTGAAATAGCTCTTGGCTGTTGTCGAAGCCGTCCGGAACATGCTCAAATAGGGTACACCAACTATTTCGAGTAGCAGCCGCCAAAAAAAGATATTCCTATTGCACCAGGGTGTCGACAGCCGTGGTAGATAGTTGCAAGGTGTAGGACTCAGTTGTGTTTGATATCCTTCTTGAGCCCCGTGCCACGACTCAGCGTTCTGGGTGGGGGCTGGGCAATCCTCGGGCTTACTGAAAAGGATTTATTTACTACGAATCGTGCTCCTGACATCTGCGACTCTTATCACACACCGAAATCCACTTGCCCCCTTGAGCAAATGCATGTCTTGCGAAAGCCTCCGTTAATTTCTACCTTTCCTCCTAATTGCATGTACCCATGAACATCCGACCCGTCTTGGTGCCTTTATGGTAGCAGGTTTGCGTGCGCTTGTTGCAAATTACAGGGTTGTTCTGTCGATCAAATACACATTCGGTTTTGTAAATTTGAAATGAAGGGCAGATTTCAGCAGCAATTTTCCATCTATGAGTAAGAATACCCCTAAACTACAATCTTATCAATGAGATGAAGACACAATAATTACCAACAGGCTCCATACGCACCTTATACTCCTATCGCGGGGCCTTGAAGGCTGATATTAAAAGGCTAGCTACAGTCCATCTGTCGCCGATGTATCGGCGTCATCACTCAGTACCCATGAAGTTACGAAAACACTGGCTAGGTTACTCGACGGGCCTATATCTTAATCACTATTTTTTAGAAATACCAATAAGACCCTCTATTTTCCCTTAAGCGCGAATGATAAATTATATCAAGAGGAAACCTAAGGGCAAATAGAGACTATCAAATTTACACTTAAGTCTACAGCGCCCAGCCGAGAGACCTTGAACGCCTTTGAAGGGTAATTATGTCTCCGCAATCCATTCCGATATCGATACCTAGGGTGTTCCACATCCTACAGGGTTTTGAAGACTTAATGGATACCATAAACCCGCTAATGACCTGATTTCCGTTTTTTGCTGAGGTATATATTGAATATCGAAAAGCTCATTTATATATTCCATTACAGAAAACTTAAGAGTGGTCGAACTGTTACATTTGGGGCGAAGAATTAGACACAGCAGAGGATAATCTAGCCATCATGATGCTTTTTCACTGAGGGCAAGCCTGAACACCTATACGTAGTGTCCTCTACGAACCTGGGAGTGAAATATTCTCCCAGAGCCAAGTTCAGTCAAATGTTGCAACATCAAAGAAGTTGGCCCATGAGGCAATGATTAAAAATACTCAACCACAACAATTTTTCACTCCCAAAGAGTTCGACTCATACCCAAGCCTCATCAAGTCTACGAGTACGACCTAGTACATCCTTATTCCAATGACCACACCACTCGTCGACTTTCTCTGGCCACAACCGGTCGCCAGATACACGCCTACGCCAATATTTGCACCTGACAGGAAACAAAGCGCAGCGCACAAATCTGGGAGACTGTTCTTTGGGATGGACGTGAGAGGATCCAGGACAAGTTCACAAGATGATGCAGAGGATAGATACAGTCTCGACGGGCGTGGGATTTTGAATTTTGGCAAGAAGTTTTAACAAATTGAGCTTTGTGCGTGCCAAGACTACGGCCACGAGAGTGCAGGCGGCACTATGAACACCGCCATGGTTGGATGGTGCGGTGGTACATCGTCTTGGCCGGTCTGCCAAGTAGAGTCTGGATAGCTTGGACACATATCCCACTCGAGACAGTTGATCGCTGGTTCAAATCCAGCAAAACACAACCACATTTCTCGCGGTGCTGGTATACATGGATGACGAAGGCATGCTTGGATAACCAAAGGTTTTAAATTCCCTTTGGTGGGTACAAACGGAGGAGGGTCGACTTTTTGTGTAAGCAAGTATACCTCATAGTGGTATTTGCGAATGAAACCCAAAGTATGAGTGTCTCTAACGTCAAAAGAGTCACCCAACATGTATACAAAGCACCGGTCATGATTTTATGTTTGTTTTTTATTTTTAAGTCCTAGGATATACCCGTTTTCCCCTGAGGGTCAAAGACCGGGGTTTACAGCTAAGATCATATCTATGATATGCCCAACCTGTTCCCACCACGTGAACCGCTACTCAAATAGTAGCTAGTTCAATTATATACAGCCATATAAAAAAAAATAGAAATCATAACATAACTCCAAGCTCCAAAACTTTGAGCTCCAACTAAATATCTGCACTTGTGGTTGGGAAGCAAAACTTCTCGCTTCGTTCCCCTTCCGATTGAGTCATGTTACATGACAAATTTATATGGACTTCGCTGAGAGCAGAGGTCCAGCCTGCAGCTGATCACCCATAAAATAGAGTTTTCTGTGCAAAATTTCTGAAGGCTTCAAGGCACTTGGGTCCGAGAATTTCATGTATGAAGTCGTCGTGGGACTTTAGACCTCGGAATCGACGTGTTTCGTGAGAATAGAGCCAACAGTGTAAAAAGTTGATTGAACTAGTCTCTTTCCCACACGCGCACTCACTAGGTGCGTCTGCATTGTTGAATCGGCGATGATAGGCCGCGAAATTGCCGTGTCCCATTCGGGCTGCAATTGGTTCGCGGAGTAGATGCCTTGATAGGGCTATTCAGGGGGCTTGCGCAGTTTCATGAGTAGATCTAGCTTTCGATACCGAACAGGGCACGCTTTATCCCACCAATCGCTGAGCAAAGCCTGTAGCCGGTTATTCATGAGACGGCGAAGGTATGCTAACGCATTAGATACTGATTGGTTGTCCGGACTGGGCAGCATTCGGAAGCCGAGGCGCGCAGTAGCGTCTGCCTCTTCGTTCCCTTGTATTCCAGAGCGACCGGGAATCCACTTAATCGTCACAGCGGCTGACGTTGAGAGTATGCGAAACTGACGTACCTCTTCGAGGCTGGTTGAAGAGATTCCCGTCTTAAATGCTTTTACAGCATGCTGATTATCCAGAAACACATTCACTCGCCGTATCATTTCCCCCAGCTGCTGTTGCGCTTCTTTCATTCCCAGTGTCGCTTCAAGAGCCTTTAGAGCACCTTTGATTTCTGCGTCCAAGACCTCTCCTCCGTATCGGATACCATTCTCCTTGTGAAGAGTTTTACCAAATCTCTTCAAAACAAAACCCCAAGCTGAACGTCCGTTTCCCTCCGAAGAGCCATCTGAGTAGGCGCAAATTTCCGCTGCGGGCACGTTGTCTATCCAAAGTTAGCTCGCTTCTTTTCCTTCTGACTTAGATATAGACCTGGCAGGGTAAAATGGCAGCGGCAAAGGCGTCGAATCTTCTGCGTCCGGAAGTTGTCGATAAGCTCGTTGTGCACGAGTTCTTTGTCTATCTACATGATCAAATCCTCGTGGATTCTTCTTGTACTTTCGATTCCCAACTTTTGGGCACATCGCAGCACGAGATCTCAGCGGGTGCCGATCATCGAGGGTTTTCATTTTGGCTGAAAATTGTAGTCGGTTTCCCTCTACGCTAATGTTTGCGGGAGGGATTCCTCCTTCCCTGTGCAGGACAACAGTAGGAGTAGTCCGCAGAACTGGAAGTGCAGATCAGAGACCCCTCATGTTAGCCTTGTCGATCATAGTAAAGAGGCTCGTAGTAGCTGGCGTGGTTATTCCTGCTCTTGTTGGGCGTTTGAGGCCTGGCCACCAGACTTCCGCCCCAAAAGTCGCGATTGAAACAATACAACTGTTTGCAGCTCGTATCAGCGCTCCTCGTGTGGCCCCTCGAAAAGTAGAATTGAAACGTCGCATAAGATGTGCGACTTTCGTTGCTTTTCCAGACCACGTCATCACATGATATTTGAAGTTAAGACGCGGATCAAGGTAAACTCCAAGCCAGCGAACTTGTTCAGCTGGCTCTATGAGATTGCCGTTAACGTGGAAGCCAACAGCTGCCTCGCGATGCCGTGATGGGAATTGTACTACCTCTGACTTTTCCGTGTCGAATTGGACGGCATTTTTCTGAGCCCACTCCAGCAGGTGATCGACTTCTTTCTGAGCAGCTGCAGCGGACTCAGCAGTGGTGCGGTCAAACCCAAGAACACCGATGTCGTCAGCGTAGCTAAACCTCAGATTAGTTGCACCACTGCGCTTTGGCTCTGCCATGTCGAGCAGGAAGAGAAGTGGAGAGATCGACGAGCCCTACGGGATTCTACAGTCTAGTTGTCGCTCCGTCGTGACACCTTCCGAGTGTCGTACTTGGACCATTCGTTGTGCAAGGAACGACTTCGTCCATTTTAAAACTGAGTCTGGCCATCCTTGTTCTTGCATCCTTCTCACTAGGCGGTTATGAAGAACTGCATCAAACGCACCTTGTACGTCTAAGGTGACGAAAGTGGCCGCCCATCCTTTTGTGCGTGCCTCCTCGACATCGTGTACTACACAGGAGACCAGGTCTGTTGCCGAACGTCTCGAGAGTGCGCCAAATTTTTGATGACCAACTACATCATAGGCCACTGCTAAGTGCGCCATCCGTTTTGCCAG